ATAGTTGTCAAAAGGTCTCGAAAAGTAAAAACAGGACTTCTAGTGCCAAATCATACTGACAGCTAATAATTTACACAGTATACTATTTCCCATGTGCGTGGAGAATAATCTTATAGTGATATTTTAACACACTACTCTGGGAATTAAAGCAGCAGACTTGTCTATAGTCTATGAAGTAAATTAGACGGCGTTATTGAAATCGTGGGGTTTATTACAGATTTTATTTTAATAATTTAAATAATTTAATATGTAAAATTTGTTGAGTATTTGATTCTTACAAAAAAATATGCTAATCGGATATCGTTAGCTTCTTAAACAAATCATATTTTTTTCAATGGTAAATATGATTTTAAAAATAAATTATTGACAAAAATATATTCTAATGAAGGAAATATTGATTTTCGATCGACATGATTTTTTTACAGAGATGAAGTACACGATAAGATTTACATATTAAATAATTTAAATCATTAAAATAAAACACACAGTAAGCCTCACGAGTCCAACAACACCATCCCAACCTTCTCCTAAATTAAACTACCACGTAAATTAAGAAATGTTTGCAAAAGTGTTGTTTAAGACACTTTGATTGTTTTTTTGTTTGAAATGTATGCACACGATATTTGGATTTTTGTTTGTTTTTGTTTTTTGGTTTTTTGACAAATTATATTGATAATTCCTATATTTTCATCTTTCTATTATTTTGGTTTATATAATTTCAATTGACTTGATTTTAAACATAAATTAATTGGTTTGTCTTAGTTTGATCCAAATTATTATTATTATTATTATTATTTTTTCGGATAAAATGTACACATAAGTTGCATGTATTACGCTTTTATGGGCAAAATTATAAATTTATTTAACTTAATGAGTTAATTTCAACCAACACAATGACAATTTTATTTCAAAAACCTTAATGAGCATTATTAACTAGACTAAATTGACACATAATATAAAATTAAAGGTTAAAATTGAGCTACTTGAAATTAAAAGGAGCAAAGTAACAAACAAAAATAGAGACTATCAATGTAACTAACCCTCTCTTTTCTCTAATTTTTTTTACATTTATTTATTTGTGTGTTTTGAAGATATAATATAAAATAATAAACTTGTTCTCTTTTTAATAACTTGGACTTTTAAATGAGTTAACAATTGAATCTAATATGGTATCAAAGTGGGAATAGAAATCTTGACCGTTAATTTCTGCTGATTAATAAATAAATAATGTTTGTTTGGTCATGGATGAATGGATGCAGAGAACAGGAATGAGCACTGGAGATACGTACCACTCCTGAATGCTGCGCTCAGGGGAGACTGGGATTCCGCCAAAAGATTCTTCAACAAAGACCCAGATGCACTAACTGCCCATATCACTTGTAAAAAGGAGACGGCACTCCACGTAGCAATTATGAGTGGAAGGTCAATCGAATTTGTGGAGAAGTTGGTGGATTTGATGCCGCCAGAGGCTCTGCTACAGCCTCATATTGTCGGTATGATTGCCCTTCACAATGCTGCATTGATCGGAAACACCAAGGCTGCGGCTATCCTCGTAGAGAAACACCCAGCCTCCTTATTTATTCGCGACGATGATAATTGGTTACCGCTCCACTTTGCTGCTAGAGCACGACATAAGGACACCCTTTTGTATTTATTGAGTGTCACAAAGGATGATCCAGTTTCCATGCCATTCGCAGAAGCCTCTGGTACTCGGCTTCTCTCAAATGTAATAGATTCCGAATTTTACGGTGAGTCACATCTAATTACTTTGCTTATCTATACTTACCATCTATATTTATACTATATGAGATTTTTAATCCTTGAAGTCTGTGGGAGTTTCAATATGTTAATTCTAATTTTCTAATTTTTTATTTTTTTAAAAAAAAAATCAACCTCAACATTTATTAACTTCTCTAAATTTACAAGATTTTTTGACTTCTCTCATAATTACTGCAGTACCTTTTCCAAAACAAATAATTTGTATATTAAAATTTTTTTAAAACAAATATAAATATCTATATCTATATCTATATATTTATTTATATCTATCTCTAACCCACAAGTTTTGTTGGAGTTTCAATATTTGAACCTTAATTTCTTAATTTTTTTGATTTTTTTTTTTAAAAAAAACTTAGCACTTATTAAATTCTCCCAAGTTTTTTTAACTTCTCCACAACACACACTCTTTTTAACTTTTCACCTATCTATTTCAAATAGTGAGTCTCCTTTTTGTTTTCTCCTTTTTGACTTCTACACTTCCAACTTTAGTGACCATGTATACAAACAGTAAGTCTTCTTTTTGTTTTCTCCTTCTTGACTTTCCTTTTATTTACTGTTTTAATATTATAGTTAGATAACGCATAAAAATATTTGTGATTTGTCTAATGTGATTGTTGTTAGTTTATTAGTTATTTTTTTTCATTTATTTATTTTATCATGGGAAAAATGTGATGTGATTGTAATTTGTTCAATGGCTCTTTTTTTTAATATGATTGTTGTAGTTAGTTTAATGGTTTTTTTTAATGTTATTTAATTTTTTTATTTACTATTTTAATTTTATTTTTGATTTTTTAATATGATTGAAGTTAGATAAATATAAACCCTCACAAAGAGAAAAATGTGATTATAATTAGTATTTTTATTTACTATTTTAATTTTATTTTTAATATGATTGAAGTTAGATAAACATAAATACTCATAAAGAAAAAAATGTGACTGTAGTTAGTCAATGGTTCTTTTTTCATTTATTTATTTATGTTTATTATGGAAAAAATGTGATGTGATTGTAGTTTGTTCAATGGCTCGTTTTTTTAATGTGATTTAATCTTTTATTGCTGTTTTAATGATTTTTCTTTACAATTATTTATGAAAAAAATATGATTGTAATTAGATAGCATAAAAATATTTGTGATTTGATTTGATTTTTTTTCTAATTTGATTTTTAAAATACCAATTATTGATAATGATTAGATTGTATTTTAAAAAAAAAAATTGTAATTGATTTTTTTAACTCACTGTATTTTTTGAAAAAAAAATTATTGTGTTTTTTTAACTATTAATTTACTTAATTTGTGATTTTATTTTTAACTCACTGTGTTTTTTGAAAAATAAAATGGATTGTACTCATTAGGGTCACATAATGTACCAATTATTGATGATAATTAGATTGTATTTTGACCAAAAAAAATTATAATTGATCTTTTTAACTCACTATGTTTTTTGAAAAATAAATTATTGTGTTTTTTAATTATCAATTGACTTAATTTGTGATTGATTTTTTTAATTATCTATACTATATATTAAGCAAAAGGGGATTTTTAACCCCCAAGGCTTGTGAGAGCTCCAATATCACAATCTGAATTTTTAAAATTTTTTATTTAAAAAAAAACTCAACAGTTATTGATTTGGTCAAAATCTCTTGATCAGCATTTAAAATCCCCCCATACAAATAATTATAGATATAACCCGTGTATAGTTACTGCAATACTATTTTTAACTTCTCTCATACACTATGGTTAGTGATAAAAATTGTTAAATTATTTTTATAAAAAATCTTTAAAAACGTAATTTATATATTAAAAAAAATCTAACACAAATATAAATATCTATAATTATCTCGTGCATAGCACGGGTGCTAGGCTAGTATTAAATAAACAAAAAGAGGTTTTAGTGAAAAGGTTTGTGAGATTTCATACTAATTTTTTTTTTAATTTTTTTAAATTTTAAATAATTAAGAAAATTTTTATTGGTTAATTTTTATTTAACCATATAAAAATAAATCACACATTAGAAAAAGAAGAAAAACGTAAATTGTTTTAATTATATAAAGTGAATCTTATATTTCTATTTAATATTGTACTGATGTGCATGTTTCAATTCAATATAGTTTAAATTTTAAAATAAAATTTAAAAATTTTAATTAATTAATTTTTATGGAAGTTGGTTGCTCTTTAACTTGGCCGATTAGGCTGGATCATTTTTGATTTGAGTGATTCATTAATTTAACCGTAATTTTAGTGATTTTATTAAAATATATTAGTTAAATTTATTTAATTCAAAATAAATTAAAAATTCATACAATTAAAAATTGAATGATCGAAATTGTTTGATTAGAAATAACTATTCGCCTTACTACAAAACGGCTTAATCAAAACGTAGTCACTACACGAGAATGACAATGTTCAAATATTATAAACAAACATCAGCGAAATATAATTTATCCATCCCAGATCCATAAATGCTCAAAATTAGGGGTGGTTTGGCAATCAAGTTAAATTAATCAAAAAGTCATTAAGACTTAAAAGGTTAAACAGTTAAAAAGTCAAACATAAAAAGTCAAATGATTATTTTATTTAATTTTTTTTTTCACTTTTTACATATTTTTTCGTAAAAAATTAAAAAATCATTATGAAACACTTCTGCTTGGTTTGGTTTACATTTCAAAAATAAATTTTTAATTGTTTTTTCAAAATATAGAAACTAGTTTGATAAAAATAAATATTAAAACAATAATTTTAAAATTAAAAAAATTATTTCTATCTATCAAAAAATAAAACTATATGAAAATGATCAATATTTTTTAATTTTAGATTTTTTTTACCAAATTATGTATTAAAATTTTAGAAATTTTTTTTGAAAAAAGATTATGAAAATCAAACTAAATAAAATTTTCAATTTTTTCCACCTTATATTTTAGATAAAAGGCCAAAAAATTACTCAAAAAAGTACTTTCCAAATGAACCTTTACCATATTATTAGTTTAAATTGGAAAATTGACCCATAAATCTCATAATTTAGAATTGTAATCTGATCAGTCATGTATTTAATTTTCTACACATAAAGGTCCTATTAAGTGTGAAAATACATTTTTGCCCGTGTGTATTGACGATTAGTCATGGAAAGTTTTGTTTTCGTGTTTTGCGCATGTGTCACGTTTTGGAAAAACATACTATAGGTTTTTTAGGTTTTGGTAGTGTGTCTTGGCCTTCCCACATTTTTAAACATTATGGCTTGTTGACATGTCCAAAGTTATTCACAATAAGCAACCCCTCATTTCCGTTTAGGGATTTCGACCAACTACTCTGATTTGGTAATTCTGGAGAATAGCGTTTTGGAGGTTAGTATGTCGATTTGGTTGGCTACATTTACAAAGCCCCACGTTTGAAGTTTTGCCCGAAAAGTGCACACACCTGGTACCGTGGCTCTCGATCTGCGGGCTTGGTTGGGTCAATTTGACGCCTGGGGGTTCTGGTCGGTAGTGTGCCATTGTTGTTACCTTCATTTTGTGGGAAGTTATATGTGATATTCTAGTTTTCGAAATTTGAGGTGTATGTGTATGGGGGGGTGTTCAGAGTCATTGTGTGTCGTGTGTTTGGCGTAATCGGATCCCAGATTTGTTGATGTAAATATGGAATTGGACAGCTAATACGTCGTTGATGCACATCAAAAATCCCTCATAACCCCATTAACTTTGCAACAAGAAGCGTATCCCCAAATTGCAGTGTGAGGGCTGTTATTATTGGTGAGGCACATACGATTGTTCAACGGTACGTTAGATGTTAATGAAGCCGACTTCGATGATGACACCGCAAAAGAGTAAGTTCCACGTTTGTACATTTGATTTTGAAATCTTTGTTATATGGTGTTGTGTAATATAGGGTTTTTACTTGATTACGAACTTGTTATGGATCACTTGTGTCCATTGACTTGTGAGTACGTTGTTGGGTTTTTATGTTTGTTTCTCATTTTGATATCTTGTGATTATGGTGTGACATGCTGTGTTTGGTGTGCATGTGTCCCAAATTTGGGAGTTCTGGTTTGATGTGGGTGTTGGTGTGGTGGTGGGGATTTGTGGTAGGGAGGTATGAGAGGGTAGGAACTGTTGTGCTTTTGAATATGGGGTATGTGTGTGTGTGATTGTGTGTGGGCATAGGGTGCGTAGTTATGTTGTATATGGTGTGGCAGTGTGACGTGTGTGGTAGTTGATTTAATCTATGACGAATTTATCAAGTGTTGATGTGCGTGAATATGTATTGTGTTGTGTGCAGTAGGGCGTATGCCGTATGTTTACATAAGTGTTTTCATTAGGTGCGTGAAATTAGTAATGTGGTTATGTACACTGTGATTAGAAATGTGATTGCTCCTTGTTTTTGTACTGTAAAAGGTATGCGAACATCTAGCACATGGACAAGATCAAGGGAGAGGACTCGATTGTGTGTTATTGCTAGTTCACCATCAAAGAACATTGGGCCAAAGATTCAAGGTGAATAACGTTAGCAAAACATCAAGGGATTGCTATTAAGAGGCCAACTTGTGCGCATGTGTTGGGTGTAGGTACTTGTATTTCCCTATGTGCTATAAATCGCACTGGACGTTGGTGGTATACGATACTGAAGTTGGCACATGGAAACATTGATCTTGGTAAGTTCTTTCCCAAATTATGAGTTTGTGATCGTGCGTTCTGTTTTTTTGGGCGCGTTCGTCCCTTAAGAGATCGATAATGGCTTGGTATGTAACATTGCTATTGTTGTTTTTGCACTATGACAGAAACAAAGTGTGTTGAACTACATTCGACAAACTCGCCAATCAACCATGAATGATGTCATGGTGTGTACACAGGATTGTGACGTGGTACTAAAGGCAGTAAATGAATCCCCACAGCAGCGACTGGAATCGTGAAATTCATGCATAAAAGTAATTTCCAATTTATTTGCATACATTAAATTTTATTATTGTTGAATTGTTTTCTCGTACGTGTGTTTTGATTCTCCACGGTAGGCCTAATTGTGCAATCATTGTTTATTTCTTAAAACAATAATATGTCTACCACACCGGGATCAAAAAGACAATGGAAAGAACTACCAGCATCAAAGCATGTGCGACTATGGTGGAAGAGTTTGTGGATGATCCTGTAAAGGAGCTGAAAGATATGGGAAGTGAATAGCATGGCTAATGTCCAAGCATTATGGTTTTTTTTTTTTTTTCCCTTTTTTTTTGAATGGTTGCTTTAGTTTTGATTGGGAATTATGAAGTATGTTATCGGAAAACAGTTTGACGTTACATTTGTTTGCTTGGTAATGTAGATGTTGGTTTTTTGTGTGCCCGACACATTGCATCCAATTTTCATGTTTGAAACACCGGAACTTGGTATTTTTTTTTGTGTGACATTGGTTTTCAAAAGTTGCGTGACAATGGCTTTGGTTTTTTTTTGGATTTTTGCGAGCAACTTTGTTTGTGTTTGTTGAGTTGACATATGCATAATATTGGCGTCTACATGAAGGATGATAGTTTGATGTACTGTTTGTGCTGATAAGTTTGCGAACAGTTTGTTTAGAAGTTGGGAAAAAGTTCGTGGACCCTGACAAGGTGTAGTATTTCGTCATGTATGTAATGGGGGGAAGTGTGCTCTGTTCCTGTACATGTTGTACAATCGTATGGTATGGTCACGTTCATAACTGGTAATGTATGTTGTCAATGCTTTGCGACAATAACGGTCACGTTTAATTAACCCCCCCTCCATAAGTTACATGCATACACTTGTTGCCAAAAGTTAGGCGTGAAAATTCAGTAGGTGCCCGTTGGGTGTTGATAAACTGTAACGTTAAAATGATAAAGTGTGTCTTACTGATTGAGGTATTCGTTTACTCATGTGGCTATGCCACAAAAGCATCTAAGTCGACCACTGTGTGGGGTATTACAGTTGGGTAACAAACAAATAAATACCAGTTTCTCATTTGGTGCAATTATCAAATGTGGCATTGTATGAATTTCCCTCAAAGTCTGAGAGTAATCAAAATTGTTTAGAACAACAAGTTTAATTCATGAAAATTTATGGCAGAGACTATAAGTGTAACACCAAATGTAAGTGGACTAAACAAAATTGTTTGGAACGGTAGGTTTGATCTGAAAATGGCATAGTTTGTTGCGAATAATGAGACAAATTAAGAAATTTAATATGTTTCCCAGTTTCAAACATTACTCCCAACGTGAATCAAATTAACCAAAATTATTTTGTATGGCAATTGGTTCGTTGTCATCGACATTCTGTGGGTGCTACGCTTGGGTCACATACAATGGATGTGCTGAGGACCTTGCGAAATTCTGCTGCCCCACCCTCGAAACATTGGCTGATATTAGTTATGCCATTCGCCTAATTCGCCAACAATAACACCTTCCCAGTGTGATGACAAAAATTAGGCAACAAATCAGCCTCCTTATCGTTATATGCTACCATTTCCCCCCTTCCCAGTCACCAACTGTGTCACTGGGTCCATCGTTTGGACTCCAACCACGTTTGATCCCCTAAGCTTCATCACAAACTTCCACACAAACATCGATATAATCCAGTCAAAATAACTTGCCAAGGCACAACATATTCTCAAAGTCTGAATCGTTTTCCATTTTGAAATTATTGTACACGGGGATCTTGAATGACATAGACACCGAATCACGAGGCAGCCCATAAAAATGTTCAGAAATATGATTGACCAATCTGTCGAATGTGAAATCTGAACGAACTACGATGACAACGTTGTCATTCCCGTATGAACACAACAATATGATATTGTCTCCAATTAATTCCTAGATGGAAACAATACAAAAATATAAGTAAATATGAAAACTCCCACCCATCGATTCCGTAACATATATACATCACAACTATGGTTTCCACTGAAAAACATATCAATGACCACGATTTTTTGTGGGGTATGGACATCGCAAAATGACAATCACACCCCACACTACAATCAAAAAAACAAAATGAAGAAACAATCAATACATTACCTTCAACGAATGTGAAGAATGTTGCACCACGGACAACGTCGCTCAAATAAACGCCTGAATGCAATACTAGAAAATCCCTTGCACACCTTGGCCTACGCGTAGTGTTCAAATCCTAACGAGCCCTGCCATTTCTAAAAATCTGCCCACACATAATCTTCCCATTCCAGCCACGCTAGACCAACGTAATCAACTGAAATCAAACAAATCCTTTCCAAAACATTTTCACACATCACATAAAAGGGAACAAAAGTCATAAAATCCAATGCACAAAATTGAATGGGATCCTGCGGAATAGATTACCAAAACAAAAGGACTGTTGCGTGTATTAATTTAAAAGGAGGACTTGTTGGACTAAAACTCTCCCAAATGGGAGTTTCCAATAATTTTTCCTTTAATTTATAACTTATTTACTATCTGTTTCTTTGTTGGAAAATTTACTAATAAATCTCATATGGAGGAATGTTGATCCATTTAGTCTTAAGAATTTTCTTATGAGCCAATTAGTCCCTTTTGTTTTGAAAAGTTGTATTTATTTGATTTGGTGTCATTTGAGTTTAAGTAAATATCGTTTTATGATTTATTTTTCTAATTTTCTGATTTGTTTTTGTGATGAGAATGGAAGGATGAGGTGTAAAGGATTCTTTTTGGAGAGATTGGCAGCTAAAGTGTTGGTTGTCAAGCATGTAAATCTACATTTCTGTTGGTGTGGTTTTCTAGTGTTACATTGGAGTGTTATATTAGAGTGCTAAGCTTGAAAAACATACACTAAGGAATTTTTGTGTGTTATATTGACTGGAGTATTATGTTTGAGAAAAATACACTAAGGAGTTTTTTTTTTTTTTGGAAAATGTTACGTTATTACGTTTGAGAAAATTATACTAAAGAGTATTTTAGTGTATTATATTGGAGTGTTACGTTTGAGAAAAGTACATTAAGGAATTTTTATGTGTTACGTTAATTGGAGTGTTACGTTTTGAAAATTATACTAAAGAGTATTTCAGTGTATTATATTGGAGTGTTACGTTTGAAAAAAGTACATTAAGGAATTTTTATGTGTTACATTGATTGGAGTGTTACGTTTGAAAAAAGTACATTAAGAAGTTTTTGAAAATATACCTTGTTAAGTTTGAGAAAAGTATACTAATAAGTTTTTAATTGTGTTACATTGGAGTGTTACATTTGGAAAAAAGTACCTAAGGAGTTTTTTAGTGTCTTACATTGATTGGAGTGTTATGTTTGAGAAAAGTACAATAAGAAATTTTTGTGTGTTACATTGATTGGAGTATTATGTTTTAGAAAAAGTATTTTGAGGAGTTTTTTTAGTATGTTATATTGGAGTGTTACTTTGAAAAAAAGTACAATAATAATTTTTTTTGAAGTTTTACATTTAGTAATTTTAAAATAAGAGGAAACTCAAATTTGTCCCTTAATACATAACACACGAGCGTTTATATCTAGTCATTTATGTAATTTACATTAGAATGAGACCTTTAGATCTATAAGAAAAAAAAAAAAAAGGACCAAATAGTTCTTAAGATTATTATATGGGATTTATTGGTGCCACCCTGGTTTGTTTTAAAAAATAAAAAAATTTCCCTATAAATCCCAAATGGAGGAATGTGAATCAATTTAGTCCAAGATTTTTCTTATGGACCAATTAGTTTTTTTTTTTTTAATTTTGGAAAGTTGTTTTATTTGATTTGAAACCATTTGAGTTTGAGTAAATACCTTTTTGTGATTCATTTTTTCAATTTTGTGATTCATTTGGGATGAAAATGGAAGACGGAGGTGTGGAAGATTTTTTTTTGAGGGGATTGGTGGCTGCAGTGTTGGTTGTTGAGCGTCGAAATCTATATTTTTGTTAGTGTGATTTTTTGATGTTACATTGGAGTATTACATTAGAGTGGTACATTTGAAAAAAAGTATACTAAGGAGTTTTTGTATGTTACATTGATTGGAATGTTACATGTGAAAAAAATATACTAAGGAGTTTTTTAGTGTGTTACATTGGAATATACGTTTGAGAAAAGTACACTAAAGAGTTTTTGTATGTTACATTGATTGGAGTGTTACGTTTGAGAAAAGTACACTAAGAAATTTTTTTTAGAATTTTACGTTGTTATGCTTGAAAAAAAATACACTTACGAATTTTTTAGTGCGTTACATCGAAAATTAAGTTGAAAAAGTATATAAGGAATTTTTAGTGTCATATTGATTGAAATATTACGTTGAGAAAAGTATACTAAGGAGTTTTTTTAAGTATTGCGTTTAGTAATTTCAATATTATAAGAAAAACATTTGTCTCTCAATACATAACACACGCGCATTTATACTTGCCCTTTATGTAATTTACAGTAGAATGAGACCTTTAAATCCAAAAGAAAAAAAGAAGAAGGATCAAACAGTTCATAAGATCACTATTTGAGATTTATTGGTTTTCATCCTAACCAGAAATATATCGGATATATCTATATATACAAAACATTTTCTTTGTGTCTGGTTGCAATTCTAAAAACAATGTGCTGTGGTAGAACTGGGAAAATGTCTTTACCTTTAAAACGTTAAAAAAATATTTTCTACTCACTAATCAATTATTTTTTATATTGACTAAAGAAAATAAAGCTTTTATTAAATTATTTTTATCACACGAAATACCAAAAGACATTTGCTTTTCACTAAAACAACGATCGTTATTAGAGTCATGAATCATACGAGCTTAGATAGATATCCATGATATGAATGAGAAATACTTGTTCAGAAGTATGAGCACCTGATTTGTAAGGTAAAAGTTGACTCTCTAATAATTTTTTTCTTCTTCTTGAGAAATGTTTTAATTATCATATTTATTTCATCTATTTATTTCTTTTATGTATATTAATACAATAAAAGTATGTCTACATATAAGACCCACCATAAGTAAAACAAATTGAGACTTAGCAAGCACAAGAGAAAAGACATAAGAGATGAAGTGCTTAGCCAAATAATTCGATGATATTTAGCATATTCATTTTTTTGACAAACAGATATAGCTTTTGAATTTGGTTGGTCGCTATCCGGAATTAGCTACGTCAAAAACTAGAGCTAGAGGATGATGATCATTACGCCTTTCGAAATTTGGCTTAAGGGCCTCAGCATTCCCAAGTGGTAGTCACCTGAATCGTTGGCAACGATTAATCTATTCTTGTGAGTTTTTTTTCTCAAGCACCCCTCTCATTTCTTTCCACTTTTGCATGGGTTGCCACTAGAGCATAAAATAGAATTGGCTGTATAATTATATTATGGTACATATTCTTTGACGCTGTGTTTGTTGAGGGATTTAGGGAGAGATT